TAGAAGACACCCTTACACTCATGCGCGAAGCTGTCACCCCCAACGATAGCAACACACTCGAACTGGTTAAGAGGAAGCGTCTTGGCGATTTCCCGAGTATCTTCAACGACGTCGACAGTCGTTTCGATGTTGGCAACTTGGAACATGGGCGCAACAAACTGCTCGTACTTGTGGAGACCAGACTTTTCGTTCGAGTCAACAAGCACGCGAAATTTGCGTAGGGACCCAGAATTAGCTTCCTCCGGCTTCAAAAATGTCAGGTCGATGATATCCTCCTGGATCGTTCTACGAGGATCTGCCCACTTGTTCAGTGCATGGTGCAGGTGAGCCACTTGGTCAATCTCGTCACCGTAGAATCTAAATGTCCACTGACGGGGGCTTCGCTTCGTCGGCTGTCTGTCTTTGTGGTGGTGTTTCTTGTCATCGAGTAGGAGACCTTCTGAAGGACACGCGTACAGTGCTAGCATGTAGACTCGACGGGGGACAACTGAGCGTCGGTTGAGTGGCTGGCCGCATGCTGTCTGTAGGTGTGCTCCGAGAAATCCCACGTGAGCCTCATGAAGACAGGGTCTTGTGGCCTCTCACCTTCCCCCGTCAGGCTTCCAGTGGTTACGGCCGACAGAGTCCGTTCATGGGTGAGAGACTTGCAGCAGCGTTCCGACACGAGTTCTTTCTTGCGTTTGTGTTTGGACACAATGCGCAGCGTACAGTGCGTCTTGGAGAACTCGAACTGCACGAGCGGGTGCTGCGTCTGCTGTGAGCGTCGATGTAGCCAAGCGAATCGCTCGTCCGGAGGCTGGCAGCTCTCGAGATGCAAATGCTCGAACAACTGGGCGAGCGACATTGGCGATCGCTGATGTGACTGGAATGCAGCAAGTTGGAGAATGCTACGCTGATACATAGATCGGAGACCCAAAGGCGTCTCTTTGTGTTGTTTGCATGTATCGCCTGTGATAGTCGATTGTTTCAAAGCAGACCGTCCACCAAAGGGTCAATTAATTTGGACGGAGCGAGGACGAGACCGTGAGAGCTGATTTTGAAACGGACGGTTTGCAGTCTGAGGCTCACCACAATGGCACACACCCGACTCACGGGGCACCCAATACTTGCTATATTGGGAGAACAAGACTTAAACGATATCATCCGTCTGGTCACATTAGCTTGGGTGTTTACTAAGTCGTGTTGCTATGGCCACAATGGAGTTTTAAAAGGTCGTTGGTGGCAGTTGATGTCAAGAGCGGAAAGTGCATACCCTTTATTGTCAAACGCACACGCTTCTCTTCTTGCAGCAAGTTGAAGCGAATCTAAAATTTATATTTGACACAAGAGATGGAATTAATAAGGCTGGTCAGACCATAGAGTACTCGCCTTTACGGAAATCTACGAAGTAAAAGTAAACCCGGAAAGCTGGTTGGAAGGCAGAACACATCCCTCCCTACCTTTGACTTCACGCTAGAGCTGTCGACGTCGCGACCCTTGGCACCGATTCGACGTCGACGACGCACGGACGTCTTATCTTTTGCACTCGATGTCGCCGTTGCACCACACCGACACCCATACGTCGAAACTATGTGAGAGAGAGTAACTACCTGCCATTTTTCAGCTTGCTAGCTGCCATGTTTACCATGCGCATGACTCCCACTTCTAAAGAGATCCTCATGAATCTTGGCAAGACCACTAAATCTACTCCGCGCCCAGCGCATCGCTCAATTTAGACCCATTCAGCGCCAATTCAGTACAGTCGTGCACCTCCAATTCGGCAGGGCGGACCATATCAACAGTGCCAGGGCATAAGTGCACAACGTAAAGCAAAAAACAAGCGCAAATCCAGTGCACTGATATTATATTTGTTTATTCAGTACCAAATTTACTCTAATCTTCTGCATAATCTTGGCGTCCTTCAAGGCGGCAACTTCCGCGGACCGCTTAAGAATACTCTGGACGGTAGTGCGCTTTACTGCTTGGGGGATCTTAAAGCGCTCCGTTGCCCAACGAGCAAGCTCGGAGTGAGAGCATGCAGGATCTGACTTGTGCTTCTCGCACAAAGACTGCTTTTGTGGGACATGTAGGAGGAAGGGCGATGTCCCATTGCATTTGGCGGTAAAAATCAAAGTGTGTGTTTGTATGAAGACGTCCGATCCAAAATTTAAAATCAGATCGATGCGGCGTGTCATCCCTCGGCGAGGAGGGGAAATCCGTTGAGGTTAATTGCTGGGGTGGTGATGGGCAAAGGTAATTGCGCATCCGATTCGCGTAATCATAAAATCTGGTAGGGTATCGACTGATACTGGTGCCGAATTGGAGGTGCACGACTGTACAGCCAGATTGATTTGACGCCAAACTTGTGGACCTGTTCAGATGACAGGAAGCACTCGTATGCACGAAACCAGTGCGGAACAGTAATTGATTCTGGGCACTGCAGATCTGCCAATTCCTGATTGTTGTTGTGCGACGTGTTCCTCTGAGGGCTTGTACCAATAGATGGATTGGAAGCTTCAAACGGCCTTGGAGGATGACCAACAACGCCACTTTTGGTGAGAACAGCAGCACCTTAATTCGAAAGAGTAGCTCATAAGTGGGTGTCGAAATGTGTAATTTTTTACGTCATTTGCATTATTGGACGTCGAGGTGGAAATCTCCGAATACACCAGACGTCGACAGCTCGATAGTCGGTGAAAATAGTAATAGTCACTGACTATCGAGCACCCTCAGCAGCCCTCAGCTGCGCGTATTCGCTTGCGCAACTTCTTGCCAGAAGCAGTTCTGATTGCAAAAGTAACTTACAGCTTTGCAGGCGCCGATTAAAACTTGACACCCAGAAGCCAATCGTGTCGACATTACCACAACGTAAGACTCAACATGTTTTCTTTTCGAGGCCAGCAAGAGACTGGGAAGACAGAGTGACTGGGTTGTATGAATAGCCATTACTAAAAGTTGTCCATTGGCTCACGTGTATCGTCCGAAGGTGGAGGACCAACGGGCTCAACTTGCTCTCAAGCCATGTAGAAAGCAGCAGTGATTGCAAGCTTCCAGCCAACGTTTTTGTGGCGGGGCTGTTCTGTCCAATGATAGGAGTAGCCACTTTTCAAATAGGAAGTCGGGTGTACGCTTCTGTGCCCGCCACTCGGCGAATAACTAGTTCTTCAGTTTTGTGGCAATGTCCTTCGTTCTATCAGCATTTGGTCCGGTCCCAAGCACTTTTGCTAACTCTCTGTCGCCAAGACCAATGGATACTGTGGCAATTGGTGACATCTTCTTGGGGTGCATGAAATTCTTTCGTGTACTTGAGCCAGGGAGGGAGTTAAGAGCGGACTCGTGAGTAGGTTATGCCCGCCAAGTCGAAGACGTTCACCGGTGGAGTATTCTTTTTCTTCCCGCTCTCCAACGTCTGCGCGTATAGCTTAAGCGCAATCACTTTCGTGTGTTCATCCTTCATACCAGCATTAAGTATACGTGAAAGCCAAACGGCATCGTCTCCGTGTGTCATCTTTCATTTATCTTCATTATCGTAAGGTCTAAACATAATTTTCGTGTTTCACGTTTACAGCGCGATGGCAGGTCGATTTTGTCATAGTACGCTGCCGATCCACAATCAAACGTCGGTGTTGCCTTGTAAGTTAGGTTATGTCAAGAGTGACGTTTAACGTTCCTACTGAAATCTAGGAGCCACTGCAGATATCGCTATTGCACGTGCCATGGTCCATACTCTTGGACGTGATTTTCGTTCCCATTACCGGTACTTATCTTAATTCAAAAGAGATAATGCAGTACTGGTCAGTGGGAGGAGCCCAATATTTCCGGCAGGAGCCCAATAGTGACTTCTTTAATGAAACCAAGTGTTCTTGGAGGGGTCTGCGTATTCGGACCCCTTTCTCTTGCAAGTGGACCCCTGGTTCTTGCGCGCACCCAAAACAGCGATCGAAGATATCGTTTTGGGCTGTGTGTCTTTTCACTGAAAAGTTTTCAGTCGACACACCCACACACAATCAATCGGCATTGCTTCTACATCAATTGCTGCCGTATCAAAGTCTAGAGAGACTTGCTCAGCTCTGACTAACCTTTTGCAACGAGTAGCAGAACGGCTATGAGAGACTCTGCTCTTTCGGAAAGGCAGAAGGCTCTCACTTGTTAATCCTTGGCCAGATGTCGTTCACGGCCTTCTCGCGAGCAAACGTCGGTCCGGCCACTCTCTTCGCCCTCTTCTTCTGCAACAGATTGAGGCCAGCGTGAGGAGCGATTGCACAATGCCCGGACTGGTAGCTCCCTTCGCAGCCGCGTCGCTCGAGTTGATATTTTCGATTTACTTGGGTAGGGCCGGAGCAAGAATAAATGATTGATCCCGCCAATCAGAGACCATGGATCTCATAGTTTATATTGAATGACTGGTACAGTAAATTGAATGAGACGAAGGCGAATGTCATTTCTATCGTTCCAGCGAGCATTCACAAACTACCGGATCGGGAGAGTTACTGAATAAGATATGGTGTCTGAAGTCGCGCGTATTGATGAATAGAACTCTCGCGCACAGTGTTGTACCATTCAGCAGGTAGTCTCGACATGATCAGATACTGTATTGATACTCCCGTGGTGCAACCGTAACATCTGCATCCAAACGACATGAATTCCGCGTGGAGGTCTCGAATCAACTTCATCTCAACACTTCTCCGTGACGTGATAAAGCCTAAAATTACTCCCAACGCTGACCTTAATGAAAGCAAGTGTAAATGTTTACCCTCCACATGTTTTTTCTGCAATCGGACCCCTTTCTCTGCAAAACGGACCCCTGTCGCTTGTGATGTTCCCTCTACTGCCCAAAACAACAGCAAAGATACCGTTTTGGGCGAGCTACACAGGCTGGCGTATTTGGCGTGGTAAGCAAAGTTCCGGTTAAAGCCATGCCATGTTACCACGCACGTTGAACTTCGTCACTTTTGGCAAATACGTTTTTTGATTGGATATTTTACATTTTAAAAAAGAGAACGAACCGGTACGCTCGTTTCTCATACATGATAATGAAAGAGATACAGATACGTGGGGGCTCCAAACATTGTTTGGCAAACAGTACGCGTTCGAGTTGGGCGACATGGCCTCCGCGGTGGAAATGTCGCCTTCTTTTCGATGGCGACGATTTCGACTGGCCGGCCCTCTGCCGGTCGAGTACAGGCCACCAGGTCCACGTTGATGCGAGACTGCGGTCCTCGCAGCCCTGGATACTTCAGTGTCCCGCTTAACCTTTTGGGAGGCAGCTCTCCGCCTCGAGCTAGATGCTGCACCTCGTTTAGAGGAAGCACGCCACTGTAGAACCGGAACTCGTCCAGTAGTCCGTGGAAGCCATACCAGCCTACGAAGTCTCCGTGAGGGTAGTCTCCCCCACCTGATGTGATGTATCCCGTCCCGACCTGTTCGTGAAGTAGGTGCTGCCACTCCCGATGTAGAGTTCCCGTCGTGGACCACACGTTCTCCCCGTTCAGATACACGTCCTGCTTTTGACGTTCGAGTTTATAGGTCAGAACTAGATGATACCAGTGGCCACACTTGAGGTCTTTGGCCCACGGGTGTCTTGACATCCAACACCGAGCAGTAGAGTTTCCTCTTCGAGTCCACCATGACGAATTGCTGATGATACTGCGGCCAGTTCCTGCTGTCTCGCTCTTCGGATTACAGTCCGAAGATCACCCCACCTGTGTACCTATTTGTGTCAAGCTCTTTCTGTGTTGACGGTAGTAGCGAAAACCACAAGTCGAGGCTGAAGTTTTCCTCGTGCATCGTCCGCAATGCAAAATACATTCGACGGAGCTGTCCCCAATCCGTCGGCGGTGGGTATTCAACGCAGGCGTAGGAGGCCCGCAGCAGCTCGTCATTGTCGTCTGTACCGAGACCGTGAAACAGCATGGACCTCGCCTGCATGTAGCGCCGCTTCCACGTGTGCAGCTGATGCTTTTGGCTCTCAGGGACGGGGCCGTGCACCATGAGCTCGTGCCAGAGCAACCCATCCGAAAGCCGAGCGAACCACCACGAGTTCGTGTGCGAGAGTTGAAAGGCATCAAAGCCCACCAGGAAGCTGTATACCGCCTCCACCAAGTCCGTCGGTAGCTCTTCCAGCCACATGAAATGTCGATATCTGCTTGTCGCTTAGAAGTTTCAAGAATGGCGATGCCGTTTATCTGGATTATAGCTCATTCACATTTATTTGCTGTGATTGGCTAGACATTTTCAATTTCTACAAAAAAATACTGCAAGGTAAAAAATAAAACTGTGAAAAGTGATGAAAAGTAAATTCAAATCTACGCCACTACCGTATTCCTTATGTGATTGGCGACAGTCAAATTCTTGAGGTGGTCCAGCCTTTCTGCCAGCATAAAAGATACCTGCATAAAAAAACTATATAACATGCTCAAAATTATATTGGTCGCCAAGCACATAAAGCGCGACGACACGAAATTTAAATCAATTTGATTGGCTGCTGGATTTGTCGCTAATGACCGAGCGTCGCCAATCACATAAGGAATACGGTAATTGTAAAAATGAAAAATTACGGCAAAAGTCTTCCCATCACATTGTTGGTGGCGTCCCATGTAGCTGCTTATCGCTTGAGGTGGCTCACGTACTTGAACGTGAGGAAGATGGCCACCTGCACGACCAGCCAAATGACGATAAGGCCGACCATGAAGTTGTACTTGCGGTCGGGTCGGAAGTCGTAGATGTTCTCAATGTACTGCGCCACCGTCATCTCCGTCGACGTGTTGCCCGACGTGACTGTAATAATCTCGTGGTTATCGCCGAACTGGCCGCCCACCAGCGCCGCAAGCGAGTAGCTCGACGGCATGAGGTACGTGAACCACTTGTAGCCTGCCTTCATGGCCGTTCGAGGCAGCAAGTAGCCCGAGAAGAGGTTCAGCAGACACGACAGCGCACCCACAGCCACGTTCGCCACCTTCTCGTTGGGCATCAGCGCCGACATCCACTGCCCCATGTACGTACAGGCCGACGTGTAGAGGTAGAAGACGAAGAGGAAGAAGAGGAAGTCGCCTCCGTTGTTGCTCCAGCCCACGATCCAGTACTCGATCGTCACGAAGAGGATGATGACCACAATGAGGTACGGGATCTCGGCGAACCAGAGCGACAGACTGTAGGGCAGCGGACTGTAGTAGTTGGACATGCGCTCGCGGTAGAACACGGCGCGCTCGGCACACGTCACCTCGATCACCGTCATGAGGTTCGTCACGCCGATAAAGTCCATGCTGTTGTAGATGAGACCAATGTGCGAGTTGATGCGCTTGACGCTGTCGGCTGAGAGCTGGTAGAACGTCGTGCCGAAGATGACGGCGAAGATCGGGAACAGGAAGACGCGCATGAAGTTGTACTGCGGGTTGCGCCAGTACGTCAGTCGCTGCTTCTTCGTCAGCTCCGTCAACTGGTTCCAGAAGCCCGTGGCGATCGGTCGGTAGTTGAGTGTCGAGTGACGTACGAAGTCGTCCGACGCCTGGCACAATTCCAGTGTCCGCTCGCGGTTCTTAACGCACAGCTCGCTGTTCTTGTACTCCAGCGAGTAGTCCTTGACGTCGCGGCCGATACCCGCGCCAATCACCTCCAGCATGTACGTCGCCGGATTGTACTGCGGTCGGATCTCCTCCGTTCCGGGGATAGACGCAAAGTACTCAAGCATCTTGACCGAGTCGACACCAAGCTCGCCGAAGTAGGCCGTGTAGCCACCTTTCTGGAGCAACAACAGCCCGTCGAACAGCTCGAAGATCGAGATACTGGGCTGGTGGATCGTACACAACACGGTGCGCCCCGTACGAGCAATAGACTGCACGCCACGCATCACAATCAGAGCCGAACGCGCGTCCAGCCCACTCGTGGGCTCGTCCAGGAACAAAACGCTGGGGTTGGCCACCACTTCGACGCCGATCGTCACGCGTTTCTTCTGCTCGACCGACAGACTGCCGACCATCTCCGAGGCGATCGTCGTCAGTTCCAACAGCTCCAACGTCTCGTGCACCAGGTTCATCCGCTCCTCCTCGGTGAACGTCGGCGGCAGTCGCAGCTTGGCCGAGAACACGAGCGCCTCGTAGATGGACGCGGCCTCCGAGTGGATGTCCATCTGCTC